TCTTCTTCTTCTTCTTCTTCTTCTTCTTCTGTTGGTCCTAAATGTCACCGGGCAGCTGTCTCACACTCAGTCCTCCTCTGTCTCTTCTTCTTCGTGTCTGTATTATTGTTGTAATAACCACTGTAGTTGTCTCCCAGCCGTGTCCCCCCGCAGAGCCTCATGCTAAACACCCCGGACTGCTTTTCTTCCTCGGCCGAGCCATTCCGGTCCGTCCCAGCTGATGTAGCCGTGAAGCCAACGGTCACCGTCGGATCCCAAATGTCTCCCGGTGCAGTTCCGGTGTCACAGCCGTGACATAAGACACACAGAGAGGCTGTGAATGTTGTCTCAGGAAAGTCTGTCCTCTCCGGGTGGACCAGATATTTCTCTCCTTGTAAACTCGACTGGAATCTCAAACAAGTTAGCGGAAACACTTCTTGCTTCCGGTGACGCACTTCAAAATAAGAGCATGTCTCAGCCCACCTGATCAAAGACTTTAATCTTAGGTTTTGAAAACTAGTACAGACATATTATGCTCAAGTATCTAACGGTCCATTTGTAGATTACACGAAAAATACACTTTTATTAATCGTCAAAGTCAAGATTAAATGTTTTGTGACTCTTTGTGGTCTTTTCTTGTCTCTTTGTGGTCTTTTGTGTCTCTTTGTGGTCTTTTTGTGTCTCTGTGGTCTTTTTGTGTCTCTTTGTGGTCTTTTGTGTCTCTTTGCAGTCTTTTCTTGTCTCTTTGTGGTATTTTCTTGTCTCTGTGGTCTTTTGTGTCTCTTTGTGGTCTTTTCTTGTCTCTGTGGTCTTTTGTGTCTCTTTGTGGTCTTTTCTTGTCTCTTTGTGGTCTTTTCTTGTCTCTGTGGTCTTTTGTGTCTCTTTGTGGTCTTTTGTGTCTCTTTGTGGTCTTTTCTTGTCTCTGTGGTCATTTTGTGTCTCTTTGTGGTCTTTTCTTGTCTCTTTGTGGTCTTTTTGTGTCTCTGTGGTCTTTTCTTGTCTATTTGTGGTCTTTTTGTGTCTCTTTGTGGTCTTTTCTTGTCTCTGTAGTCTTTTGGTAGTCTTTTGTTGTCTCTTTGTGGTCTTTTCTTGTCTCTGTGGTCTTTTTTTGTCTCTTTGTGGTCTTTTTGTGTCTCTTTATGGTCTTTCTGTGTCTCTGTGGTCTTTTTGTGGTCTTTTGAGTCTCTTTGTGGTCTTTTTGTGTCTCTTTATGGTCTTTCTGTGTCTCTGTGGTCTTTTTGTGGTCTTTTGAGTCTCTTTGTGGTTGGCATACAGTGCTAATTTAAGTGACATTTTGCAGGTGAGGGCCAGGTGGCCCCTGGGCCGGTGCTCAGTAGATACATTCATTCATTCATTCATTCATACATAGATTGTGTCCACATCTGTAATATTGAAGTGAGTGGAGGTGTTTTCTGGGCTCACCTCAGCACAAACACACCATGAACTTTGGACAAATGATGGGACAACTGTCCTCTCTCTATATTTCCATACATTAAAAAACAACAACAAAGTCCCTTGTGCCCAGACCCTAAAATATCATAAGAACATGGCTGTGTGTCAAAAAATATGCACAATCAATTATTTGGTATCAGCTGAATATCAAGGATACACACACACGTATGTAGCATAAGAATATTTCTAAGGGATTGTTCGTTATTTATGAGGGGAGAGGGGGTGGTGCAAAAAAAGGGAGGCATGTCAAATCATTTTTTAAGCACTGGGGAGGGACTTAGAGATTTAGAGGGTTGTATTTTGTGTTTATTTTACTGCAGATTTAAAAAACAAAATAAAACAAAGCATGCCTTTCAAACTCGCCCACAGGCTTGGAAAGCATGTTTTCTTTAAAAATCACCAAAATGACACCGTTTATTAAAAACAGAAAGTGTAAAGACAGAAATTATGGTTGGATTTTCCTTGAAACATAAGATAATAAAATCTGATCTTTAAATAGTGATATTTCATCAGAATCACTTTATCCTAAGTCTCATTTAAAATGTGTCCAAAAATAAACTGTTTGCACAACAAGAGAGAAAAACTGAGTCTTTTTTAACTCCAGGGTTTTAACCCAGTCACTCAGGGAGGATGACTTGAAATGCAGGAGTTTCACTTGTATACACACCACACATATATGTAGATATAAATAAGCCTGGGGTGCAAGTTTCATAATGCGACTGTATTTTAATGAGATTTTCATGTAGTCTCAGTGTACTTCACCTTCACAGCTTTAATATGAGGGTACATGATATGGTAAATATTCAATATTAAAGGACACAAACTTCCAACTGAGCTGTGTGCCTGTTCAGTAACCATCCATGTTTATTATACATATGTAAATATTAATATATTATTATACCCTGTGTATTTAAGTATACTACATGTGTATTATATATTAAACTGTTGTATGTAAATACTGTAATGTTTTTAGCTGTATTCAGTATCACACTATCATACTGTAACATCAGGACAAGTATTTGTTCAGTTTGTGTTTAATGTACTTTACACAGCTTTGGAACATCTGCTCTTATTTAACTCATATCTAACTTATTTTATTCATTTAATCAGATTGTGTTGTAGTAACATTAATTTCTTACAAACCAACAGACTGTAATAATGAGAACACACATATTAAATGTAGTTTCTCCATCGTACACAGAGACATATTGAAAACCACAAATTAAAACATAAGCAGTTAAATCAGTTAAAAAATAATCTGTTGACACTGGCTGTGAGACCTGAGGGTGTTCCTGTGTCTGTTGAGTTTCAACTGCAGAGCAGGAGCTTTTATTTTGAAATCAAACTAGTTAAACCAGAAGTCACCGGCTGTTTGTTTCTGCTTACGTCACAAAACTAATCTCTAGCTGGAAAAACGGCTTCAACTGCGCATGCGCCCCCTCGTGGGGCTGTACAGTGCAGCAAACCGAGCGCCTCCTGGTTCACATCATAACTTTATTATAATTTGATGAAGAGGAAGGTGAAACTGTTCCTCTGTTCAAAGTTCGACCTTCACTGAAACACCGCCGGGACGTCCCGGTGCTGCATTCAAACACACCTTTAAAGCCTTCTGAGCCCTCAGCCAATGAGAGAGGAGAGTTCGAAACAATGACCGATGATTGGTTGAAATTTAATCCCAATAAAGAAGATTGTGGTGCGTTCAGGTGTCAGAAACTCTTTAACTCTATAACAGATGAATTTAATAAAATACAAAATAAATATTGTTTCCAATCATTTTTTTAATTTAATTATTTTAGTTTTCTAATTTATTGTGTACAGAAGAATCAGATGAATCTGTTTATTGAGGCATAATGAGCAGGAACACTGGTTTTCATTGTTTAAATTTACACATTTAAAACAAATACCTAGAATAATTTAAAAAAAAGATTGTTTTCACTCAGATTAGACCTGCAGCTAATGATAACTATTGTTGATCCATTAATCACTCAGTGTGAGAAAACAGTAAATAATTCAAATGTTTTGTCCAAAACCACAAAAATATTTAGTTTCCTGTGATATTAAACTGTAGATGAGACACTGGTGACGCTGCAACTGGAGAATGACTGTCAGAGTTGTTTGATGAATGAACTTAAAATTGATCAAGTTATCAGAACAGTTGATTTTATGTCTGTAAGAGATGATCACTTATTTGTTTTAGGACTGTACTGACATAAGAACCCCACCACATCAATTCAGACAATTTCTTGACTTTGAACTGTAAAACATCATATTTAACATAGTAATAGCTCAGAGTTAATATTTTTCTTGAGGGAAGCATCGGTCCCATATGATGTGTCTGAGAACTGTTCAAAAATCTGAAAATCCAACAATCATTTCTGTGTTTATAGTTTCTGGCTGCGATAAATGATGTCATTATGGTGATTCTTAAATAAAGAGGCATGTTTTATTTATAAATCTAAAAAAAATAAGACATCTGAAGATGTCACTCATTCTGGAAAATCATCACAAGAATTTCTCAATATTTTTTCATATTTTTAATGAACAAACTTATTTATATTAAAGACATAAACTGAAATTTTCATATTAACTGAAATTGAAAACTGTTTGCAATGAATGATGAATATAATAATTATAAAATCCTCTGCGACCTTCGTGGTCATACTGAGTCCAAACCCAATGAAAACAAAGAAATGCAGATAAAAAAATGTATTTCAAATTTTCATTTGAACTTTTGCAGTTAATATTTACAAATAAAGGTTACATGTGAAAATCTTGTTGGAATCAACAGATGACAGGTAATAAAATCTGTTGTTATTTATCATACTGGATGAGTGAAAAAATGAAGTGAAGATGTCCCCAGGTGCAGTTCAATAAACAGGTGTCACCACTCTCCTGAACCAGCTCAACACACATCAATAACTGTTGTTGACACGTCTTTAACACCTACACACAGACTTATTATTTGTCCGCTGAAGATGTCAAAACGTTCATTTTATAGAATAAAATATGTAACCTTCAATGTTTTCAATGGCATTTTGTGCAAATATTCAAGTACTGCGTTCACTTAAAGGGATAGTTCGGATCTTTTGAAGTGGGGTCGTATGTGGTGCTAAACTGAAGTGTATTACGAAACAGGCAGGAGAACCAGCACAGAAGCTAAACTATGTCCTGCTGTGGGCGCGGTCAGCAACACACGAAACACGGCAACAACAACAGAGTTGACGTGCTGAGGGGCGGCGCGTCTAACGGCTGCCAGTGTGGAGCTGTACATTGAAATTAATAGGGCCATATTTTTTGACAAGCGTCATTTGACGCCGGTGTGTTTTGGCCTTAAATGTATGCTGAATTGAGAATATTTCCAGCATCTTACCTTTCTGTCAGACAGCCTGTTCAGATGGGGAAGCCATTAACAGCTTCAGTTCCCCATCTACTCTCTCGTCAAATCCACCAGACTCCATTGAGAAAAACAGTAATTTTAGCTGACTGAACACAGGAGCTGCTGGTCTACTGCTGCTACGATCTGTTAGTTTGTGGTATTGTGTGACTTTGGTGAGTCCAAACCAGCCCTTTAAACACCAAAGTCACACAATACCACAAACAAAATAAGTATTTGAGGCAGCAGCAGACGAGCAGCTCCTGTGCCCAGAGAGCTAAAATTACTGTCTTTGTCAGAAGACTCTGGCTTTGAGGAGAGCGATGTATCAGCTTCATTCTCCAGCTGGAAATCACTGTCTGACAGAAAGGTAAAGGAGTGAAAATATTCTCAATATAGCAAACACCTTAAATGATATTGATATTTGAGTTGGACCTTTTTTTTTTTTTAGGTGGCTAAAATATGTTCCGTTGCTGACCCGTCCACAGCAGCACATTGCTTAGCTTCCATGTCGGACTCCAGCCTGCTTCTCCAAACTGGGGGAGTGCCAACTGACATCTACTGCAGGTAACATACCGACAGTAAATAAGTACCTCATACAACCCCACTTCAAAAACAGTTCAACATGACAAATTCAAATTCAAAGTTAAACAATGAGTCTGCATGGACAAACTAAGACGTTTTTGTTAAACAGCCAGCGAGGCCCCGACTGTCCTCTCTAACAGTATAATTTTAGGTTGTGGTCGAAGTTGTTCGTAGTATTGTCTGATTAGCTTCTCTGACTCAGCTGTCGGTACAGTTGGATGGTCATGAGCTGAATTTCAGGATCTCCAGGTTTGATGTCGATAGCTCTCAGGAAGAAACCCAGGGCCTCGTCCAGCTTCCCTTTGCTGCGGAACTCCTTCCCTCTACTGACCAGGGAGTCGAAGCTCTCCTCCTCCATGACCTCCTCCGTCCCGTTCATCTTGACTCCTTCATCAACAGTGCACTGATCCATTCTTTCATCGGAGGCTAGCTCGGGCTCGCTGGCCGACTCCTCCATGTTACTGCTCGACCCTTGTCCCGACTCATCATCCTCATCTTCTTCCTCCTCCCCCTCCGTGTTTAATGTCTCTCCGATGGTCTCCTCCAGCTGGAGCTCATCATGAGTTGAACCAATGATGTCCTCCTCTTCGGCCTCATCAGAATGCCTCTCTGAAATATCATCTTCCTCTCCGTCAGCTGAGTCTTGGTTGTGGCTCTCCTCCAGCCGGAGCTCATCATGAGTTGAACCAATGATGTCCTCCTCTTTGGACTCATCAGAAACGTCTTGGTTGTGGTCGTCCATGTCGTCGATGATGGACTGAAGGAGGGACCGGCGTGAGGCCACGGACGTGTTTCCTCCGGTGCTCTTTCTCGACCGTAGAGGGGCGGGGCCTGATGGCGCCGATTTAGGTGTTGATGCACCAAGAACCTGGAATGAGTTGTCGAGTTGACTCCTATCATCATCATCATCATCATCATCATCTTCTTCTTCACTATCATAAATCACTGCTGCTCTTTTCTTCTTGAAGGTCACAATGGAATCATTCGACTCGTCCATTTCAGAGGCGTGGCCGTTGTTGAGGCTTCGCTTGAGTGCTTCTCTCTGCTGTCTCTCAGAAAGGGATTTATTGATGTCAAAACTCCCCTCGACCTGCAGCTGTGACAGCAGCTTCTTCTCTTCTTCTTCGGTCTGCTGATCCAGTACATCGTGGTCTGAGAACATGTCACTGTCTTCAAGCTGCAAATTGAAGTTGCCTTCAAAGGATTCGAGCCCAGTGCTGGCTCTGGATGATGTGTCTGCTTTGAAGCTTGACATGGATGCTTGTAAGGCAGAGAGTCGTTTGTTCTGCAGGGGTGTGACATGTGGATGCCCCAAGTCCATCTTGGAGTCGTATTTTGAGTGTGAGGTTCCGGTTAGCAGCTGTTCATCTTCATCGACCGCTGTAACATACACCAGACTGTGGTCACCTGCCAAAGCAGCTGCAGCTTCAGACACTGCAGACTCATCCATTAGTTCTTGAACGGAGGCATCTGCCATGTCACCTGCAGCAGCAGCACTGGTCTCCGACATCACCAAAGACTCCTCAATCACCTCCTGAGGTGATGTGTTTGCTACTTCTAAGTAACTCCTCTCCTGCTTGACAGGGTGGTGTTTCGGGGAATCCAGGTTGTGTTCAGAAAGCTTGTCTTGGCTAACTTCCATAACAGGTTGTTCCTCTGACATACTGTTATCTGCAGTTAGATCGATAACTCTGTCACTCAGATTCTGTCGGGCATCCTGCTGGTCAGAACCAGACTGGTCCAAGTCCACCACAACCGGTGACCTGTTGAAGTCATGCTGTGGATAGGAAGGACTTGGCCTTGGGTCTCTTGGTTTTTTCTCATTGGACTGCCCACTTTTGTTGTTGTCCACAGGTTGTCTGAGCCAGGCGGGTTCTGTACTTGATGCCATGCTCTCTGCCAGCTGCAACTGTAACTCTGACTCAGCCTTCATCAGCTCCTGGGCCTTCTGGACCCTCCCTTCTATATAGTGTTGCGCCTCTTGGTCCTCTGGGTCCTCGTCATGGTTAACATCCAGGGAAAACATGAGATCGTGGTCAGAGATCCCAAACATCTCCATGGCATGGAGGTGGGCGATGTGTTGGTCCAGTTCAGGGTCAGTCCGCCTGTGTCTGGAGTGCATGGCCTGAAGCTGCATCTGTGTGGACGATGACCGTGTGTCCTCCAGAGTAAAGAGCTCCTTCAGCTCCTGCTTGCTAAAGTATCGAAAAGGGTTCTTCTTGTCCCCAGTATTCTGTCTGATGAGGGAGTCTTTGAAAACCTGACGCCTGTAGATCTTTTCCTCGACAGTGCCGCAGGTGATCAGCCTGTAGATGACGACGTTTTCAGTCTGGCCGATGCGATATGCCCTGTCCACAGCCTGAGCGTCTGTCGCTGGGTTCCAGCTGGGATCATAGATCACAACTCTGTTTGCTGCTGTCAGAGTGATGCCAACTCCTCCGACCTGGGTGGTCAGGAGGAAGACAGAGTAACTTTTGTCAGTCTGGAACTTAGTGATGCGCTTCTCTCTCTCTGCAAGCTGAGTTATTGTCCCATCTAGTCTCATGACTTTGAAGCCTCTGTTGCCTAGGATGCGTTCGACGATGTCAAGCACTTTCCTGTAGTGAGCGAAGACGAGTGTGCGGTGGCCCTCTTCTCGGAGCCTTTCAAGAAGTTCAAACAGAAAGACAAGTTTCCCAGACTCAGATATTAGGGTGTCGTCAGGAACGTTAGCGATGCTGCCTGTGTCTGCCTCTGTGTTTTCATTCTGCTCATTCTCAGGTGAACTCTCCTCCAAGCCTAACTTGGCGATGGCTGTAGCAGAGAGAAGTCTCGGATGGTCGCACAGCTTTTTTAATATGTTTAATTCGGCTAGAGGCGACTTGGTGGTCATGAGCAGCTCCTTGATGTGGTCCAGTGACAGGAATTGTGTGTATATGTCTTCCTGGACGGAGCTCAGGTAAGTCCAGACAATCAGGTCGTTCTTTCTCGTCAGCTTGGGCATCACTGCTCCAGAATCTTCTGGAGGGTTTGGGACATGGCTGTCCTTGTTGTCCGAATGTTTCTCTTTGCATGGCTGTGCACCGTTCATTTTGTCTTTCTGCACTTCCGCTTTTGTCCTGCGGAGGAAGTAGGGTTTGATTATGGCCATTAGGTTCTCAGACATCCGAGACCCAAGAGCCTTTTCTCCTGGAGTGGCGTCCTTCTCTCTGGCCCGGGTGATGGGGTTCTCATACTCTGCTTTGAATGTTTTCGCTGTGCCGAGGAGAGTGCCTTGACAAGCAAAGTCGAAGAGAGCCCACATTTCTTTCAGGTTGTTCTGGACTGGAGTGCCTGTCAGAAGAACTCGGTTCTTGGAAGGTATGGAGTAGGCACTTTTGGCTGTTTTGGTGGTTGTAGTTTTTATCTTGTGTGCCTCATCCAGGATCATGTAGTCCCAAACAAACTCCTTGCCACAGTACGATGACAGCTGCTGCCAGTTGCTGATAAGCATAGTGTACGTGGTAATGATGACACCACCTCTCCTCTGGACTTTCTCCAGATTCCTGGTCCTCTCTTTGCCGGCACCATGAAACTCCTTCACCCTCATACCGGGAGTCCATTTGGCAAACTCCTTAGTCCAGTTTGTGATGAGTGAAGTTGGCATGATCAGCAGCGTGTGTTTAGCCAACTCGTTGTCGTACATGCCTGAGAGGAAGGATATCACTTGGATGGTTTTACCGAGGCCCATGTCATCTGCCAGGATCCCGCCTTTACGACCATCTCTGTACAGACTGTACAAGAAGGCCACTCCATTTCTCTGGTAGTTATAAAGTTTGTCATATAACTCTTTGTAAAGCATTAAACCACTGTTGTTAACGTCAACAAACTCTTCATCATCTTCTTCCTCCAAGTCATTCTGAGCAAGAAGATCTTCAATTTTTTTTATCCTGCTTTCAAGTTTTTGACTCTTGTGAATGTCATAGGCCAGTCTGAAGAACTTCAGTGCTTTGTTAATGTCCCCTTGTCTGGCAACATCTTTACCATCCTGTATGAATCTGAAAGAAAGAAAAAGTGGGTTATTAATGACACAACGCAGTCGTCTAAACTAGAGCCGCAACTAACGATTTCTATTATAATAAGTTTATCAAAACTCAAAGCAAAACTCTGCTTCTACAGTCAGCCTGAGGATGTTTTATTTCTTTTTTTTCTTTCCAAGAATCAGTTTAGGTTAACTTTTTATTACTTTAATTGTTCTAGTTGTTGGTCTCTGGAAAACAGTGTCGTGCTCTCACTAGATCTGATGTACTGATATTTCTGTAGATTAAAAATGTATTCTCATTTCTCTTCTCAGCTGTAACATTCCCTCTAAAAATCTATTTTTGTTTGAAACATACACAGAATAAGTCTGAGGGAGAATGCATCACATTAACACCAAGTGGAATAATTGTCTTGTGTTCAGAACATCTGGTCTGAGATCAGCTGTGCAGGTTGTGAAACCTCATTTTGTGGTGTGAGCAGCACAGTCTTGTAGTCTTGTGGACACTTTATGGACACCACAGCTGTCTGCTTTTTGCACATACAATCACTTGCACCTTATCCACTGGTCATTTTCATTCACTGCTTCTCATTATTATCCACTTCCTATTATTTTCATTATTATTATTATTGTTATTGTTATTTATCGCCGACTCTTGGATTTTTGTACTTATTTGCATGCCTAGTTATTTAAGTTTTTTAAGTCTAATTTTGAAATCTTTAATCTGACTCTTTTTCTTGACTGCTGTAACACTAGAATTTCTCAATTATGGGATTAATAAAGGTGTATCTTATCTTATCTTATCTTATCTTATCTTATCTTAGTCTGCATGTGGCTTTACGCAGATACATTTAAATACACAACAAGAAGCCTGACACCTGCTGGTCAAAATGAGTTACTACACCAGTCAGCTGCAGTGAGAGGACATTGTAAATGTAAACAGAAAACATGTAGCCATCCTGTGTTGAATAAAGAGGGACATGAAGTAGTCTCTTAAAAACATTGTCAGATCCAGTCCTTCTGCCTCACCTGAAATAAAGAGCACCTCCACTAATGTCACACTAAGTCTCACACGGCCAGACGTCTCTCCACACTTGGTTTTAGTGTTGAGCCAGCGCTGGAGAAAGGTCTGGCTGAACCCATTATAAATCTGCACTGAGCCAAGAATTATGGAATTTTGGACAGATGTTCACCAGTGAGCAAATTTTTATAGACGTGCGAGTTCTACAAGACAAAAGATTTAAAGCGTTCACATGGAAAAGCACCAGAGACCGAGCACTGGGCACTGGCTTCAGGAAATGTCTGTTTATTTTGGAAAAATTACAGACACAATCAAGGACAAACAAGAATTAGGAATGCACAATACTGGAATATTTTTGCCAATATCCAATTTGCTGATATATGCGTTTTGGATTATGTCAGAAAATAAGCTCTGTGGCTAACACAAGTTTATGATACTTACAGGTTTTGTTCAGCGAGATAATCTTCACATATGAACACCTTTCATACCGCATTTGAAGCGTAACTGCGATCGCCAGAAGTAAAAAGCTAACGTTAGGCTTTAACGGACTACATGACTACTCCACGGTCGCATGACTCTTGACGTCACCTCCACTAAGCTTTCAACTGATTTCAGCCGCTTTATTTTAAAAACATTGTATAATGGGGAAATCGGACTGTTTAAGCTAAATAAGAAGCTGTAATGGCGGACTGCCAGCACTCTCGCCTGTTCGGGGGTGATGACGTTTAATGTCCCAGACAGGGTTTGTAGTCGTATTGAGCAACTTGTTAGCAACCGCCTTTTTTACGACACGTAAAAGCTTCAAAATTCACAAGTAGGGTATTTACTGACGTGTTTTATGTCGTAGAACAAAACCTGAAACTCGCTTAAGCTTTTGTTAACCACAGACCTTATTTGAGGCATTTTACCAAAATCCCATTCAAAAAACGTATTGACTTTTAGACGAGAGAACGGGAAGTGCTAAAAGCGCTAACGAAGTTCCGGGTTTACTGGCACACTCTATTGGACATCGAATTGGGACGTTGTGAATCAAAATCAAATTGATTCAGGAAATCAGTGGTGATACCCCGCTCTAGTTATTGGTGTTTCTCGCACAGCGCTTAAACAAAGTGTGGGGATTATAGGTCTGGCTATGTGAAGCTAGCTCAGTGCAGACGATGAAACCTTTTGGCCTGTATTTAGGACAGTGGCAGCGTGAAAGAGGGAGAGAGGGAGGGACGACACGCAGCAAAATGCCACAGGTTGAAACTAAACCTACGGCTGCTGTGCCAAGGACGCAGCCCCTGCACATGGGACGCCTGCTCCACCAGGTGTACTTTAAAAGAACGAACATTTTTAACAATGTGACAGAAGTTATTCAAGATTCACGATATTTACTGTCACTTTGGTTTGGAAAGTAGAAACGTGTGGAATGCTTTTACTGTGAGGCTCCATTAAAACCCCAGAAAAAGAGCAAATATAAAAAGGCACATGAGGTGCAATATAATAAAATATAACCAATGTGTAAAATTATATGGAAAAATATCTACATTCAAGGCAAACTGATGATCTTTGTTTTGCAAGAAAATGTGTATTATATAATTTGTTAGAGTTACCTGTGGTAAGCTTCCATCTTGTCATCTGTGCTGATGGACAGAGACCTGTCGACACAAAGTCAGGGTTAGAAACACCGTCACATCCAACACACATCCAAACTACAGCTGCCGCAGGAGCAGGTGGAATTTTTTTTTAAATGAAACCCTGTTTACTTTTCAGAAAATTATCAATGCAACAATCTAAAAACACTCCCAGTCCTTCGCTCAAAATCCTACTTGTGTAAAAGCACAGATACATTATTGGCTTCATGTGGGCCGGTTAAAGCCGGCAGTCAGCAGTAACAGCACAGACATATTATGCAGCAAAAGTACACAAGTATTGTCAGCTTCTTGTGGTAAAACTTCAGAGTTATTCTCAGCTTCGTGTAATAAAGCTACACAAGTATTGTCAAATACATGCAGTAAAGTACAGCAGTACTCTGAGCGTCTTGTCGTAAAAGTACCACAAAACTATGAAAGTATTTTCAGCTTCACACACGTGCAGTAAAAGTACAGAAGTATTCAGCTTCAGGCAGTGAAAGCAAAAGTATAAAACCTTTTTCAGCTGTCGTCGACGTATCAGCAGTAAAACAACACCAGTATTATCAGCTTCATGCAGGAATAATCATCAGTAGTAAAGTACATGTTGTGTAACTGATCTTTAACCTGTGTGACATTATTAGATATTCGGGGTGGGGAAATTTTTTGTGTGGCAAAATCGTATCGTTATGTGGATGCCAAGTATCAATTTTGAAAAAAAAAGATGTAAATTATTAATATTATAAATACAAGTTAAACTTTAAGTAGCTGACTAGAAGAATATAATCAAAAGCTTTTTCATTCCACTGGAAACATTTTGTTGCATTAAACATTATTGAAATGAGATGAACAGACTGAAAACTTTATCTTATCAGATAAAACAGATCTTATTAAATCTTAAAGATAAAACACGTTCACAAAGTTTAATAAATAACAACACATTTAAAACTGAAATAATATTATATTGCGCCTCGTGTATTGTGATCATATTGTGGAGCCTGTTGTGACTCACAGCCCGGTTAGATAATTAACACTGAAGCATCAGAGTCACAGCAGCATGTTGGGCTGCTCCTGAAGGTCCCTGCAGACGTCTGAGGGGTCGTCACGTGATTAATTTGAGAGGAGGAGGAGGAGGAGGAGAAGATGAAGAAGAAGAAGAAGCTAAGCTCTGATGCACTAATCTGTTAACAATCCAGTTATGACGTATTAATAAACTGTGGTGTTAATACTTTTACACCTCTGTCTGTCACGTTATTTATTTTGTAGTTTTCAGAGTCACTGCTGTCTTCTGACGTCACCAATCTGTTACCATTAGCATTAAACGTGGCTAGCCTTTAGCACTGATGCTAACTGTTAGCATTCCTACATTAACGTTAGCTTTACTCACTTTTCCAGTTTCTCTGAAATCTCCGCATCTCCTCCGTGACGCTGAGAGACTTCCATCCCGTTAATGTTCCCAATTCACCGACACGAACAACGGAACGAACCCCGGTAAATTAACGGGTTATCTAGCCTTACAGTCAGACACAAACACCCGCAACTGATGAGACGTTCACTGACACAACTTTACATGTTGTTGTGTTTGAACCCGCAGCTTCTCCCCCCGCCAAATGTAAACAGCCAATCAGAGAGGACGCTGTGGTGACGCTACGGCAAGGTTGTCCAATCCGAAAACATAGGCGTAAAGTGGGCGGGATTAAAGTGGAGCTCAGCCAATGAGCAGTGTTTATCCAGGCAGGAAAGCGAAAGCTGTTCTCCTGTTGAAACGGTGACATTTAACTTAATGTTTTAATGTTTTCCAGGCATGTCCCTGAATTCAAGGTTTGGAAAGTCCCTAAATTTCCAGACTCCGTCACAGTTAGTTGGGAAAAAAGAAAGTTACAAGTGTTGGTTTAAACAAAATAAATATAAATAATATCAACACGTCTCCCACAGTCTGCAGCTGGACTTAAAAATCACTGAGGTTATGAGTGAGAGCAATTTGTTTTAAATCTGTAAATGTTTTTAATTTCTTAATTTTATTGGATTTTGATAGGATTTTTCTCTGTAATATATATCTGATGAACAGGCCCAAACGGAATACACAGATTTTTAATTGTTTTTTTTTTTTTGTTTTTTTTTGCTCATAATGTGATGAACAATATTCATTTATGGTAACAGTTGTTTTTGAACCACTATAAACTCACACAATACATTAAAACCTAAAATGACCTCAAGCAGGCTAAAAAGATACTTAATAGATTTTAGTACAAACTTTGAATCAGAAATTTGATTTTTGATTTGATTTTAATACTTAAAGAAAAAGAAGAGTCAGTCAACAAAATGAAAAACATGTGGCCATCACAATGGCTCAATAAGAATAGGGACAGCAGCATTGTTCACAAGTGAGAGGAGTGGGATATCAGATGATGAGTTAAATGTGTTTATTGATAACAGATATAAATACATAAGGTGTTTTGTCAGCACTATAAGTCAGTTGCTACTTGATCCTATTTAAGGGTCAACCATGGATCATTGGGCCGGGGTCATTTGTACCCTTTAACCCCCCCTGATGGGCCAGTACACGACCTCAGTGTCCTCAGCAGGAGAAAAACAGGAACAGAATCTGTTGGCCTGTTTATTTCCAAACATATTATATTTATATTGAATAAAATAAATATTGATAAATGTTTGTGTTCTGTTCATGGGGAACACAATGTTTGAGCCCCCAGTAAAGCTGCTGTTGCTCGTAAGTGTTTGTAATATTGTGTCTCCCACTTGTGTAAACTGAGGAAGATCAAATAAAGGAAACTTTGTAAAAGCAAAACGTCAGCAGAAACACCTGCTAATGTAATAAAGTGTGCTACATGTGTCAGGATCAGGAGCTGCCATCAGGCTGTGAAGCATGTGCAAAAAAGTGATCTGGAAATTCCCCAGAGCAAACCCAGCAGCAGAAAACACCCACGTCTTGTTGGCACATGTCTGGACGAGTCTCGGCTGCAGGCTGCAAAACATAGAACACACACGACATAAAAAGTTGTTTGGAAAGACGTCATCTGAACTCTGTTTTTAGCCTCACTGTAGCCTGTAGCTCTGACCGCCTCTCTGGGCACCGCGCCAACTTTTTATGTCGGGGCTTCAGGACACTTGGATCACTACTGACGAGCAGTATGGAGATATTTTGTGGTTTCAATGATGTGTTTTTGGACGTTTGAATCTGGGGCGCCGTCAGCCTCCATTAGGTGGAGTTGTGTTGCTACCTCCTCTCCCCTTGGATCTCTGCAAGTGATGTGAGGACTCTAAAACTTCACCTGAGCCTCCCTCGGCATATGGGTGAGTAGATAATGGCTGAATTTACATTTTTGGCTGCACTATCCCTTTAAAAGGAAACAAGTTTTGTTCCACAACTTGAAGGATTGAAAGAACAAAATCCAGATTCTCCCTCTCACAGTCCTTCATCCGTCTGTAATGAAGATGCTGAGGGGAGATGTATCAGAGTAAGAGACACATTATATTTAGGAGTTATTAGTATTTCCCAAATAAGTTATTTATTTTCTTATTTATTTATATTTATTCACAAATTCTGTGACCACCTGTCTGCAGCTGCTGAAGAAGAATCCTCTGCGAGGAGCTGGACAGAGTTCTTTGAGGCAAAACACTTTCTTTAAACATTGTGTTTTACTCTCTCAATAAACAAGTTTGTGCATTTGTTATAATCCACGTCGTCCACCACCTGTGACTTATGATTTGTACTGATTATACACATTTACTGAACCTGCCAAGTCACTGTGCTGTGATAAATATTTTCCCACTTGATTATTGATGACTGAAAAGTACAATGTTTCTGTGTGAGATGAAGGTTGACAGAAATATTAAACAAATACTTCAGTACTGTAATGAAGGGTCGTTACTTTGTTACATTAAAACACTAATTCGTTTAAATTTAAATTAATTTATTTTACATTTTTATTTTACTGAACTATTGTTTCTGTTGTTCCCACATGTCTGTCCGTCACATTTGGAGCTGCTCGGTGTGTGAGAGCTTTTTGAAATAAAAGAATGCAAAGGAAATGAGAGTTTGTGGCTTCATGGTCGCTCCGTCTGCTGCAGCTCCTTCCTGTCTTCACTGTTGACTACAGGAAATGACCCAAATACAACCAAAGAAGAAAAAGGATTCGTTTCATTGGCACAACATAATGTGGAGAGCAGAGATGTGAGATCTGTACTTTTCTTTCTTTTTGCTTCACCTGCAGCTGTGTTTCCACACCTGAATATGTTAGCTTTGCAGAATGAACTCTATCTGGAAATCTGTTGAATTTAAGGAGGAGGAGGAGGAGGACAAGGAGGAGGAAGGTTAATGTGTCTTTCCAAAAGATCCAGAATCAGCTTCGTCTCCTCTGAATCACAGTTTGTCTTCACACGGTTCACAGTTAATAATCAGTCTGTTATCAGAGCATAAAGAACACCACAGAGGAGCCGTGTGTGTTTACAGAAGCTTTTATTGTGAAGCTTCAAGGCGATGGCACACACACAGGAAAACAGCAGACGATACACAGTTTACAGAAACATGAGTTCAACTTCACGATAACAACTCGAGCACCTTTCAAAGAATTTCTGGGTCTTTTTTTGGTGAAATGTTTTCTGAATGAAATCCACTTTAACTCTGCAGGGCTCCGTCTCAGTGGCTCTCATTGGTCCACATGTCTCACAGTCACTTCATTAACATCAACTAAATCATTACACAAATACACAGTGTGATATAAAATAAATGGTTTTAAAATGTGGAATTAACTCACAGGTGTAAAGATATAAAATGTGCCCACACAGTTCAGGTTTTCACATCTGTGATCACCATGGAAACACACACTGGAGGCTGGTTCAGAATAACGGAGCCGACTCCAGAGCTTTGACCTGAGCAGCAAACACCAGGACTCTTTTCTTCACCTCGGCACTGATGTCGGCCTGCGAGGCTCGCGGGTTCTGACGGAGGAACTCTGAGATGCCCAGGATACACTCTCTCTGAGGAAACACAGAGACACAACAGGACACGTGATGAAGCCCAGGATACACACACTCTTTATTTCTTCTTCATGCTCTTTTTTAAATCTGAAATGCAACCAGAGTTACGTTTCTTTATCAAGCTACTGCTGATCCTACATGCATCTCAGTACTCGTCGGGTATCGGTCTGACAACAACAAGCCTCTGGGGACAAATATTTTGGGAGACCTGGTTTAGCCAGCGGCAACCTGATATCTGGTGTTGGAGGTAACAATTTACATGAGGAATATATTACATCTCAGCAGTAATCAAGTAATATCATGTTACCAACAGGATTTCAGGTGATATTATTCCATTTACAATGTCACGTTACCACCCAGAATAAAGTGTTCATTGTCCTTTTTTTTTTTCGTTTATCCACACTGATCCACTTCCACCAGCCAAAATATCCCCCACAGCTTGTGCCTCTTACACTGCCTGTTTGAGGCAGGAATATCGTGCAGTTGTGCTGCCTCGCCGTTCTGTATAAACGCCACAAATGTGAAACAGGGTCGCAGACGATGTGGTTCTGTTGGCCGAAAGCTGAGGTAGTAACAGCGCTGCATCAACATCTGTGTAAAAGGGACAGCTGGCAGGACGGGACGATGTGATTGTACGACAATGTGTTACATGTGCGACGCACCACAGGAGATTTATAGAGCAGCTAGCATCAGTTAGCGGCTAACTCAAAGAAGAACATTCATTCATTCTTTTTTTTTTCATTTCTTACCCTCTGAGCAGAGGACGAGATCAGCCGCCATATGACAGGGACGTTACATGATTGTTATTGACACATGATGTCATTGTTATTGTTTATAAAGAGCTGCTGACACGTATGTTATATGTCACACTAGAGGCCGACGCTGTTGTGTTGTTCACACCTCTTCTGCTTCTGTGATGTCATCATGCTGTCTGACATCACACTCTGGAGTGACATGACGCTGCTGTCGTTTGGTTCTGTGTAAAAATGTAAAGGCAGCACAAAGAAGGGACTTCGTCACGGCTCTATAGCGCCATCTGTGTGTAAAAATGGCGCCAGACTTTTTGGTTGTTTTGCACCTTTTCATGGTTATTTTGTGTCTTTCTGGTCTTTTGTGTCTCTTCATGGTCAGTGTGTTTTTATTTGATTCACATCTTGCGGGTGAGGGCCGGGGGGGGGGGGCCCTGACACTGGCTCTTAACTGGCCCCTGTTAAGTAATCCCCCCATGTCCCCTGCAGGCGGCACACAGGTACCTTGTAGGCGTCCACTTTGTCCTGTCCGGTGAAGCGGTTCAGCAGCTCCCTGCCGACCTGGACGCCTGTCACTGTTGCCAGAGTCGTCCTGTCCTGGTCAGTCTGAGAGGTCAGCCAGCGCAGCAGCGCCATCTGCAGGAGGGAGGAGGCATTTTAAAAGAATCATCATGGTGGTTTCATGCCTTAGCTCTTTAACCACCACCCTCAGCTCCTCCAACACCTCCAACTGCTCCACTCATTCAGCATCTAACACACCCTCCACCATCTAACACACCCTCCACCATCTAACGCAC